GGCCGCAAGGAGGGGGAGCCGCAGCTACGTGTTCGGGACTTGCAGAAGTGAGTATGGAATGTAACCAACGTCATGGTTAGGATTATATTTCAGAGTTTGTCGGTTGGCGATTAGCGATGCATGCTGGTGTCGAAACATTCCCACTATATGCAATAGATGTTTACATCCCAGGTCGTTGAAAGATATGCAGAAGAACCGTGTGTCGATTGTTGCACAGCAACTTATGTTGCACCATTATTTTTGATCAAAATCGCAGGCATCTCAACGACACCGCGCTCAAGCCTTACATGGAAGAGGGTGCGCGGGGAATCTCCCTCGACACGGTGCACAGATGGCTGCAGGACTTGGGCTTCCGTTGGCGGCGACACCGAAAGTGTGTCTACGCAGACGGTCACAACCGCCCCGACAACATCAGGAGGAGGATGGGTTACGTGACGGAGATGCAGGAGCACCAGAAGCGTACAGTCAAGTGCGTATTGAATTTGTGGTGTGATTGGGTCTGCAATGTTTCCGATTTCGTGTAAGGTTTCCACCGTGGAACCGACAACTTACTTTTTTTTCAAGTTTAGATGTCGTTCAAGTTTGAGCATTTACGCGAACATACAACCTTGCGCAGGGACCTCTTGTTTAATCTCTCGTCCCGCCACCTTGACCTGCAGGCTCGCAAAGATCGGTGAGGGCCCGGAAGCCGAGGAGGTTGCTCTTTGGCCTGCGGTGTTCGAGAGTGCGGGGGGCGATCCTCTGGGGGAAGGGAGCACATGGATGCACGTTCAGCTCGAAGGCGAGTGCGGCTGGGAGAAGCAGCATAACCTCAGGACGAGCGGAAAGCTCGAAGAGCTTCCGGTCGACGAGAGACTCGAGCTGTGGTGCACGGAGCGGCAGCGTGTTCCAGCCCAACCGCTGCCGCCCGGGTTTCGCTTGCTGGAACCGAGGGAGGTGATGGAGGTGGTGTAACACGACGGGNTGCGCAGGGACCTCTTGTTTAATCTCTCGTCCCGCCACCTTGACCTGCACGCTCGCAAACATCGGTGAGGGCCCGGAAGCCGAGGAGGTTGCTCTTTGGCCTGCGGTGTTCGAGAGTGCGGGGGGCGATCCTCTGGGGGAAGGGAGCACATGGATGCACGTTCAGCTCGAAGGCGAGTGCGGCTGGGAGAAGCAGCATAACCTCAGGACGAGCGGAAAGCTCGAAGAGCTTCCGGTCGACGAGAGACTCGAGCTGTGGTGCACGGAGCGGCAGCGTGTTCCAGCCCAACCGCTGCCGCCCGGGTTTCGCTTGCTGGAACCGAGGGAGGTGATGGAGGTGGTGTACCACGACGAGTGCGCCTACAAGCAGAACGACAGGGGCGGGGCAGCGTGGGAGAACGATGAAAAGGGCGCAGCGATGAGCCCGAAAAACGAGGGCGCCGCTGTCATGGTGTCGGACTTGATCGGCGAGGAACGCGGGCAGCTGGACATCCCCGCTGAGGTGTACGCGATCATGCAGGAACACGGGACAATGCCGAAGGTATGTTGTATAGGAGTATCGTAAATATAGGTTGTATCTGGAGGGCTGATGTGGAATGTGGAGTGTGCCCCTGTTCCCGTCGATGAAAATTTACGAAATGTTTTCAATGCTCCCTCGAGCGAAATACTGAACATGCTGACTCTTGTCCACTCTGTGTTTTTTGTTTGTGGATGCCTGCTCCTATCCCACAGAGGGAGATTACGGATGAAGGAGCTACGCTCTCCCGCAGCGACACCTACGTCGGGCGTTGCAAGCCGTGCGAAGAGTACCCCGACGGCATGAAGACGAAGAAGGTGTCTGATGCTGTTCACTCGCTCGAGCGCGTTCTTTCGGAGCTGAACATCGACTGCAAGGAATCTGGGCCCGAGTACAACCTTGCGCGCTCGGCCAGGATCATCCTCCGGGTCGGCAAGAACCTCGACGGATACTGGGATAGCAACCGCTTGTGCGTGCAGCTTGAGGTGAGGAAAGTCAACCTTTAGATATCTACAGAGCAACATTGTGTTTCGAGGTGGGTTCATGGCCCTCAGATTTTCTTCCCACGACCTGGCTTCTACATTCTGTTTCCAAACGAAACTCTGAGCCACGCGTCTCGCCAATACACATTTCCATCGCGCTCACGCTTTCATCGACAGGCCATATTCGCGGCGTTCGAGATCTCGAGGGAACCAGGCCGACAGATGCTCGCAGTCTTTGACAACTCCACCGGGCACAACGCATACAGCCCCGACGCCTTGAGGGCGCAGAACATCCGAGCCTCACCAGGGGGCGAGCAGATCCCCCCCCGCAACTTCGAGTACAACGGCAGAACGATCTACACGACGTTTCGGGAGGGCGACGTGCTGTGCTTCAGATCCAGCCCCTTCGCTCGAAAGACGGAGGCGGAGGCCGTGGGTGAGCTCCATCGTTGATTTAGGGACTTTTTTCTATGTAGACATATATCTATCTACTGCACTGCTGTAGAGAGTTGACGTGATTTTAGGAACTTTTTTTGTGCGAGGCTTAAAAAAAATACACCACGTGATACTCGAGCTTTCCCATCCCATCCAGTTTCGTAGATAGTGGCTATGGGTACGAAACAAATATCGCCTTTTCCCCTTCCTGCTCTTGTCTCCGTCAAACGTATGTAGCCAAGAAACGACACGGGAAAAGGTTGGGAGTGTTCCCGATAGGAACGGTTGTCAAACGGGGGACCAGCTCGGAGAAGCTGATTGGTGTCGCCAAGGGGATGAAGGAGATTCTGGAGGACATGGGGCTGTACAAGCTAGCCAGCGAAACGAAAGCGCCACCGCTGCTGTGCCAAAGGTGGGATCATTGGTTTTCGTTTCTGTTTCAGGGGCTTAAATGCCGGCGTGCCCTCCATGCCTCGTTTGAAGTCGATGAACTATTCGACGTGTGTTCCGCTTTTTCCCTTGAGCTCTATTCTGCTGCGATGCACCTGGACTCGCGGTAACCTACATTTACGTTTTCGGCGCCTCTTTTTTGCATGTCTCTGTCCTCTGTTTCTTAATAGGTGCAAAGACGAGGCTAAGGCCAAGCGGGACAAGTCAACGATGTACAACAAGGGGGGGGAGAGCCGGCAGCAGGCGCTCGAAGGCGAAGGAGACTCCGATGATTCGGACGAAGACAGCGAGGAAGGTGGTGCTCGCGATGCAGCCAGAACATCGAGAAGATGCTGCTGCCAGCGAATCATCAGCGAGGTCAAGGCCTTCAAGGAGCAGATGAATCGGGTCGAGGAGCTGTTCGAAGCTGCTGGGCACGCATGCATTTTCCTCGCCAAGTGAGTGAATTTTTTTGGGCGGAGATGTGTCTATGGGTAGAATATCTAGATATCTGTAATACGCGCATGTGGTTCGATTCTAATCGTATATTGCAATGCTGCTCAGACTCTTGCGCTAAGTTTCCTTCTCTGCTCTTGCGGGGTTTCCAGGTACCACCCGGAGCTCAATGCTATCCAGCGTTTCTGGGGCTACACCAAGTCTATCGAGCGCCGTGTCTGCGACTACTCCGTCCTGAGTCTGCTTGCAAGGCTTCCCATGACGCTGAGCACTGTCTCTTTGTCACTGTGCCGAAAATGGGCCCGTGTTTCCTGGCTGTACATATATGCCTACAGCCACGGGCTTGAGGGCTACTTGCAAACCCGAGACCTCAAGAAGTGGACGAACCACCGCTCGCCCACCGACACGGCCGACAACGTGTTGCTGGCTCGTGGCCAAGCAACAACCGCGGAGGAGCGCAAGGCCAAAGAGCAGGCCGCCCTTGCCGCGGCCAAGGAGTACAGAAAAAAGTCTAACGAGGCTGCCGATAAGATATTGAAGCGTTTCGTAGCGGCAAAGCTCGCACCACCTCACTTCACCGGCAGCACCAGCCGGCGCGATGTTGTATCTGTGTAACCATATAGGTAGATAGATATTCTACCTTACATTTGCGTACTGCTCCTTTATTCTTTGATATAAAAATTTTTACATGTGGTCTTAACCGACATGGTATATAGTATTCTAGATAGAATATATAGGACACACCTTAATGTAGATAGAATATATATCTATCAAGCGAAAAAGGTTGTTCTACTCGGCGCTGCCGAGCTAAGGGTGCAGGGCCCTGCCTGCGGGGCTGTACTCGGGGTAATACGTGCCGTTTCGGGACAATACGCGGCGTTTCGGGGTAATTTCGGGGTAATTTTCGTCCAAAAACGGTCATTTTCACCAAGAAAAAATTTGGTCCCGGATATCGATGCTTCTCGNTACTCGGCGCTGCCGAGCTAAGGGTGCAGGGCCCTGCCTGCGGGGCTGTGCTCGGGGTAATACGTGCCGTTTCGGGACAATACGCGGCGTTTCGGGGTAATTTCGGGGTAATTTTCGCCCAAAAACGGCCATTCTCACCAAAAAATAATTTGACCCCGGATAAAGATGCTTCTCGACCTTGCGGTTCTTCTCAACTTTTTTTCGCGTGTCAACTCTCAAAAACAAGCGAGAAAACGTGGGGGTCATGTTGTGGAAAAATTTAACCGGACGGACTCTACAAAAAGTTGAACATTCAATTTTTTTCCAACTTGGTGAGAGTTTTCCCGGACATTTCCTTGGGCTGTGCCACAAAGGGATATTTTCCCGATGTGGTTCCGCATGTCTTTGGATAACCCTCTTAGCCACCACATTGGTGTAAGAAACTACTGTAGACGACAGAGTCCAATGATCCAGAAGGGCCTACCAATGATGGGAGAAAAAATATAGTACCTTTCACGCCGATCGGGCAAATGCGTGACCACGTCGTCGCCATTTTCTGTATGCATATCTATCTATATGTATGTATGAATGTGTGTATGTATGTATGTATATATGTATGTATGTATGTATGTATGTATGTACGTACATACATATGTATGTATGTATGTATGTATGTATGTATGTATGTATGTATGTCGATCACAGATTTGGAGGGTTGTTGTTGTTGTTTTCTTCACATTAAACTCATGTCAGTTGCTAATCCCAAACTCTAGCAAGACTCGGTCCGTGGTCACAAAAATGCTAGAGCTATCAGAAGATCTAAAGCACACACACACTGTTAGCAAGAAAAGGGTACACAAGCCTGAGGAGGTACACCTACAAGCCCTGCAGCACGTTTGTTTGCGTGCTCACAACTGAACGACACGCCCACACACTTCAATTCGACTACAGCAGCAGCATCACCCCCCTTGTCACGCAATTGACCAAATGAATGTTTGTCGACTACAAGGTACTGCTGTCTGAAGTGCTGTCTGTACAATAATAACACCATGACGCATTGTACACAAGCTCGGGGCATGCAGGTGCTGTCTGAAGTGCTGTCAGAATGAGTCTGTGGACATATGTACAACGAAGAAGAACACCCAAGCAAAGCCATCATTTCAATTGACATCACCCGAATCTCTCCAGATCATCGTGTTAGGCACAGCAGTGTAAACATCGACACTGACTTGGAATCGTTCGTTCCACATTGAAAAGGTCTTCCACGATGCAGGTACACAAATAGGGTATACTTATAACAACATATTCGCCTGATTGAGAGCGAAGTATCTGATTGAGAGCGAGAGCCAAAAAAATTGAAATTTCGGGTCCAGACGCCTCTTGCCATTTCTTGGCAAGTAGGGGACGGGCTATTCCAAGAAGCGGTGCAAATTGAAGGTCTCATCAGCAGCTTCGCGAGCATATGCGTGTCATCGTCATCGGATGCTGCAGCGAGGAGCTAGACAAGTTGCTAGATTTGCCCAGATTGGCTATTTCTGCTCAAACTGTTTCAGGGCGGTATCGCGTCGGGCGGTGGGCTCTGCTGTAGCTTCTGCTCCCCGCTGTAGCTCCACAACGAGAGACTCCCACAGGATGACCAGGGTAGCGGCTTGAAGCTACGGGCTAGCCCTTCAATTCAAGCTACACAGCAAGCTCCACCTCTCAGTGGTAGTCCGGCTACAGCGTATCGCGCAATCTCGCTCTCAATCAGATGCTACGCTCTCAATCAGGCGAATATGTTGTTTTATCCGTATGTCCAATACATAACGCTTTGTTCGCCCGTGTTTGTTCGCCCGTGGAGACGTGGAGATGGGGCGTCCCTCGAGGGTCATGTCGCCGAATTGCCCAATGGCCCTGATTGGGTAGTTGTGTAGAGTTACATACAACCGGACGCTGCACTGCAATCTAAGTGTCTACCGCCGTCCCTACCTGTAAGGGGTATTATAACGACAAAAAACATCACGGAACATTTAAGGGTGTACTTGTAAGCTACCTCGAACCGATGGAAGGGGTTGAACCTTCTTTCAACTGTAGGGACAGAGGAGACTTCCGGAGCGATCGGTGGTGACCGCTGGTGACAGACAGCGAGACAGAGTAGGTTCTCTAGGAAGAGCCAGTGGTGGTCTCTGGGAAGTGAGGGAAAAGAAAAGAGTGAGAGACGAGGGGAGAGGTGAGGTGTGCACAGCACGCCGATCCTCAGCCCTGTCGACGCAGAACCACCCTGACGTGGCGTAGTCTGCGCGGGCGCGGTGACGCGCACAGCATCGGCACGCGGGAAAATCATAAACAAACACCAAAACATCACTGAACGAAGAGTGGCGGTACCAACCGCTCGATTCACACTAAGAGAAAATTGCAGGCAAGCCTGTGTCGGTACGTCGCGTGGAGACGGAGTGGAATACCAAATGGCGCCCATCTTACTGGCAGTGCGAGTGCTCTAGCGCATATAAACGATGCGGGGCGTCAAGTGATGTAACGAAGTCGAACCACGGGACGTGAACCAAAGGGACGAGTATTCNGACGTGGCGTAGTCTGCGCGGGCGCGGTGACGCGCACAGCATCGGCACGCGGGAAAATCATAAACAAACACCAAAACATCACTGAACGAAGAGTGGCGGTACCAACCGCTCGATTCACACTAAGAGAAAATTGCAGGCAAGCCTGTGTCGGTACGTCGCGTGGAGACGGAGTGGAATACCAAATGGCGCCCATCTTACTGGCAGTGCGAGTGCTCTAGCGCATATAAACGATGCGGGGCGTCAAGTGATGTAACGAAGTCGAACCACGGGACGTGAACCAAAGGGACGAGTATTCACATCAATGAAGTTGCCGGGCGGCGTGGAAACATGCGGCCGGGAACTAAAACAAAATATAATAACGACAAGGCATGCGCGGTACTTCGCACGGGTCCCAAATGAAAAATCATGGGCACCAGGAGAAAAGCTATGTGGGTACGGACTACCCCCCGAGTACGCACAGGAAAACATGCTAATACTCGATATTGCCGCAGCAATAAGAAAAAAAAAATCAAACAAATGATATGGGGATGGAGTGTAGACGCATCGTAGAACGCGTTTGTTTTCGTTTGAAGAGGAAGTTTGGCCGCGCGACCGAACATGAGATAATGAGGAGTCTCCTGTAGGGTCGTGAAGTACGCAATATTATGCGCAAGTTGGACAAACGGCAACAGTTCCGACCAATGATCACAAGACAGGTTGCTGTACATAGCGAGCACGTTGTGGACGGTACTATGGACACGCTCAAGGACAGAGTTACCTTGAGGACGATACGCGGCGGTACGGGTTTTCTTGTACCCAAAGACAGACTGCAGTTCTTTCACAAGCCGGTTTTCAAATTCCTTGCCTTGATCAGAGTGCAGAGTTTCCGGCGGACCAAACACCGAAAAGGCGTGGTCTACAAGGTTACGCACTACTACAGTGGCTTNTACCTTGAGGACGATACGCGGCGGTACGGGTTTTCTTGTACCCAAAGACCGACTGCAGTTCTTTCACACGCCGGTTTTCAAATTCCTTGCCTTGATCAGAGTGCAGAGTTCCCGGCGGACCAAACACCGAAAAGACGCGGTCTACAAGGTTACGCACTACTACA